GTGATGTGTCTTTTGATGGACAACACACGGGATGTGTTGTCTTTGAGTCTAATGACGAGATAATTGGTTGTAAAGAGTGATCTCATGAGTGGTGAGTATTGGATGAGTGGCTGTTCTGTCCATTGCTTTCAATCCCTCTTCCATTACATAATAGCCTAATGTCTGCAAAAGTATCACTCAATCGGTGTTCACCTCTTGATTACCACTCAAAGACATCCACACAATGATTGTCACTATTGGACACAATTATCTCGTGTTTTATATTTGACTCTTGAATATGTGTTGAATATATTGTTTGAATTGAATTAGAGTTAAAACCAGAAAATGAATACCAATTACGACGAGTCGAACCGATTCCTCGGGATGTTAGCCGAAGTGGCCGTCAAGACATTGAATGCCGAACAACACAACCAATCGGAACTCAAAGCCCATAAAAAGGTTGGTCTCCTCTCTGTCACCATTCAAATGACAATCACTTCTTAAAGCCATTCATAGCTGAAGAAGTGATTGAATGTGTTGTGAATTATGCGCCAAAATAACTAAACACATAATGTTTTGTCTTTCAGGCGAATAAACATGTCTTAAATGTGGACCAAATGCGCAAATTGTCGGACAAAGTATTGGTCGAGTCTTTCAGTGAATTGAGTTGCGATGAAATCCGGCGTATATTTCAATACATTTTTTGAAAAAAATTTGTTCAAAAACAATTATTTTAATTTAATAATTACTTAAAATTGTTAATAATATTATTTATTAAGTTAATGAGTTAGTTTAGGCTAGGTCAGGGTAGGTTTAACTAGTTATTTCTTTAATTTAAGTAAATTTAATTTAAGTGCGGATTATACATGAGTGCGGGTAATGCACAAGATTTTACGGTAAATATAGTGTATAACTTATATTATATAATATTTAAAGTAATTTATTAAATAGTCTCGACTTTAGAGTTTGTATTAGTATTGAACAATTACAATGACTTTAAGCCAAATTAGTAAACAGTAAAATAAATTGTGTTAAATTTACAAATTTATGTCGCATTTCAATTTTTTAAATGGGTTTATTAAAATTATGCTAAATATGTAGAATTTAATATTTAAACAGTTCAATTTCATTTATTATAATGTTTTTATGTGAATATTCTTTACTTTATTAAATATAACATTTATATTAAAATTATATCAAATATTTTTAATGTCGTAAATATTGTACGCAGACTTCAAGTCAGAGTCATAATCCGCAAAAATAATCTACAATGTACATAAAATTGTAGAAAGCTTGTTTTTATAACTTTTTTAGAATCAATTTATAATTTCATGTAATTTTATTATATATAATTTTTTGCAGATTATAACTCTAACCTAAAGTCTGATTTAAGTAATAAATATTATGCTGTATTTAGGCAAAAGTTAATCAATTAACCAATTTTGACCATTATCATTTTAGTTATTTTACCAGTTACTGTAATTTTGAATTAGGGCAACCGCCCGGATGCTTTTTGGATGCTTTTTTGGTTGTTTTCATAGATATTAAAGTGTAATCTTTAATTTATTTGCTTATTAACAGGCACATTACTTTGCATGCAAAATCAAAATCACCTTGGGCTAAAACTTTTATAATCGTTTATTGTCTTATTATTGATAAGTTATTAACCATGAAGTTTAGGATTAATTCAAAATAGAGCAACCGCCCGGATGCTTTTTGGATGCTTTTTTGGTTGTTTTCATAGATATTAAAGTGTAATCTTTAATTTATTTGCTTATTAACAGGCCTTTTAGCGTTACTCAAAGAGAGAGATAAATGACGATCTACTTTAATATATAGTTTTAAAAAATCCGCGGTTGCTCTATTTTGAATTAATCCTAAACTTCATGGTTAATAACTTATCAATAATAAGACAATAAACGATTATAAAAGTTTTAGCCCAAGGTGATTTTGATTTTGCATGCAAAGTAATGGTCCATTACTGATGGACGCTTGTAGTTAAGGTGACCAACCGTTATGGTTTCACCAGACAGTCCCGGTTTTGGACATTATGTCCCGGCGAGAGTAGAACCATAGGGTGGACCATAGAAGGTCCTGGCCCAATTTTTCTATTTTAAAAATAATTTCTTTGAAAATCTGCAAATATAATTGCTATTTAAGCGTTTGATTTTAAATGTGTTATTTTTGTCAATTCTTTTGAAACAAAAATTAGTTCAAAGATATTTTACATTGTATTTTTACTAAAAATGTTTGTAAAATGTTTAAACTGAGACATCTTTGGAATTTTTAAATGTATATGCAATTTTGGCGAAAAATCCCGGTATTCAAAATTGGTCAGTCTACGTCTATAATAATAATTATTATTATTATAAATTGACGTTAAAATATCTTAAGGTAATTATTGAGTTACAATATAAGCACATTTCAAAAATTTACTGCATTATACTTGTAGATTAAAAATAGTTGGATTAATAATAATGTATGGAAATATTGTGTAATAATTATATTTTTAATTAGCAATTAAGTAAACCACACAGAATAACCAAGCTCATTCATGCTATAGGCAATCCGACTTCACAGAATCATACCCGACTATGAAATATGTCCATTACATCATACACTATATCCAATGTGCGGTTGTTTAGCAAATTTAAATTAAAGTACACAAAATTATACCCAATTTTCCTAAATGGAAATCGTATAAGATTTAGGTCAAGTAAGCTAACAAAGTCGGATAGCATAAATAAGCTTGGTTATTTTATAAATGTTATGAAAACTTTAAATCCATAATTCCTTCACAAAGTTGTCAAAAATTGTAGAATAAAAGAAACCCAAAATCATTGTTGCGTTAGTTTTGTGTGACTTTAAACTTAATGAGAAGATTAGATTCAGTCGTCGTCGTCATCTTTTTTGGGACTCTTTTCGAAATACATTAAATCCTAATATTAAACAAAGTATTAATTAAATTGCATATTATTTTCAATATGAATACTAACAATCATAATACAAGTGCTCAATAAGATTGCCTTTTCATTCAAATCAATATTTTTGGGAAAACTGACACAAAAATTGTCGGCATAAGTGAGGGCTTCCTTCGCCAGACCCGACCATTTCTTAGCAATAGTACCGCACTTTTCATCCGTCGAGTAATTGTTGATCGAAAATGTAGTTCCCGTACAACAACACCGACAACTCTGACAGTTGGGCCCATTCACAGAATATATTGGATCCGAATTAGAGAGTGAATATACCATAAGTTGTTTGTGGAAACAATTACACGACTCTTCAATACTTCCGATCTTACTATCGGTCGGAGAAAATACTTGAAGTTTCTATGAATTACGGAATATTATGGGAAATAATTTTTAAAATAAATTATTTTTTTGAATTCATTATTTGAAAACACGTTTAAACTCTCACTTCGTATCTGCAGAAACAGAAACACTGACCGCAGCAATGGTTCTTCATTTTAAGTCTGAGTACTTCGCGTCCCTTTTCATCCGTTAGTTTCATTTCAAACCGTCGACCCCTTCGGCAACAATTACACGAACAACAACTCTCCTCCTCTTTAAATACATTTTCATTAATCAAATTAAATGTTAGACAATATATAACAAAATATATGTTAGACAATACCCTCGGTAGCGGTCAGTATAGTCTTGCCGTTCAAATCTTTAATTTTATATTTATTCAATTTATCACAACAAAAACATTTATCACACATCTGTCCCATAATATCGACCTCTTGTTTAACAATCAACGCCTCATAATTCTTAAGTATGTCAAGACTGGCGCCGTCGGCACTCGACGGACCAAATAGACTGAATTCAGTGGTGCCCACAGTTGTGGCGGTTATTGGCTGTTCGGTCACCACATTCTCGTCACTCATTTTTGCTAATAATTACCGTTTTTCAGACATTAACTCTAAAATTCCTTCAGACAGTTGTCGACACCCTTTTGAGTCAATCGATCGATAATTCATCAAAATATATAGCATTTCAGTCGAGTTTCAGTAATGAAACAGTTTTCGAAAGAAAAGTTTGTTTCTATAACTACATTGAAATTGTTTTGTTTTCACAAATCAATTAACATTAAGTGTGCAAAATATTAGCCAACTATTAATAATTTACATAATTTTCTTTTGTTGTAATAATTTGATGTAAAAATACTGCAAAACTCTTTATTATAATTAAAATATTGTCAATGATTTCAATAATTATCAATAAAACACAAAACGTTTATTAATTTGATTTATTTGATTGTAAATATATTTAGGCGATTGAATCGTACAAAGCCTTCGAGTGATGTCTAATGTGTTCACCGATAAAAGTGGACACAAAGAAGAAGGAGTGATCGTATCCTTCTTGTAATCGGTAAATGACCGGAACGTTAGCCAAAGCACACGAATCCACTAAATTCTTGCCCATCAGGTCTTCGGCTAAATAAGTGTCGTCCGAACCCTAAAGTAGTAATCATTGGTTGACATAAAAAGTGACACAAAAAGCTAGTAAAACAAAAGCAAACAAAACCTGATCTATGAGGAGATTAAGTGGCGGTCCGTTATATTTCTGGACCAAATAAGTTGAGTCCCATTCCTCCCAGTCTTTGGGATCGTTACCCAAATATCCAGTGAAGGCTTTTTGACCCCATTTTCCTTTCGATGGATTAGCGATCGGCGAAAAAGCGGACACAGATTTGTAAAGACCCGGGTTTTTAAGGGCGCAAACGATGGCCCCGTGACCGCCCATACTGTGGCCACATATCGATTGACAGCCACTTATAACAGGAAAGTTTTGCTCAATAATTGGTATCAACTCTTGAGTGACATAAGAAAACATGCGATAATTGTTTTTCCACTTGTCTTGAGTCGCGTCCACATAAAAACCAGCGCCGGTTCCGAAGTCATAATCGTCTTCTTCGCCATCGATGTGAAGACCCCTCGGACTGGTGTCCGGACCCACAACTACGACCCCCTCTTCGGAGGCATACCTTTGAAAGCCTGACTTAATGATGAAGTTCTGTTCAGTACACGTGAGCCCAGACAACCAGTAAAGCACCGGTACTTTCGTGCCGTCCGTCGCTTTGGGCGGAATATACACCGAAAAACTCATTTTGCACTTCACTTCTCGGCTCTCATGGCTATACACCTCTTGTTTGCCACCAAAACACACATTACTCGACACCAAAGACACTGACATTGCGTTTGCAACTAATGAACGGATCAATTGATGACAATTCAAAGTCAACACAAGAAACAGACAGTGAGAGAGAGGGGAGAGAGTGGGAGAGAGAGAGTGAGAGAGCCCTCTATGGAGTGTTGATAAAGAGTGACAATACGTGCCATTCGTTCACATTTTGATTGCATTTCGCGTTTGTTTCAAAACTTACAAAATTGTTGTCAATTGTGGTCTCGTTTTGGTCACCATATGGTAAGTGATGTGTCTTTTGATGGACAACACACGGGATGTGTTGTCTTTGAGTCTAATGACGAGATAATTGGTTGTAAAGAGTGATCTCATGAGTGGTGAGTATTGGATGAGTGGCTGTTCTGTCCATTGCTGTCAATCCCTCTTCCATTACATAATAGCCTAATGTCTGCAAAAGTATCACTCAATCGGTGTTCACCTCTTGATTACCACTCAAAGACATTCACACAATGATTGTCACTATTGGACACAATTATCTCGTGTTTTATATTTGACTCTTTAATATGTATTGAATATATTGTTTGAATTGAATTAGAGTTAAGACCAGAAAATGAATACCAATTACGACGAGTCGAGTCGATTCCTCGGGATGTTAGCCGAAGTGGCCGTCAAGACATTGAATGCCGAACAACACAACCAATCGGAACTCAAAGCCCATAAAAAGGTTGGTCTTCTCTCTGTCACCATTCAAATGCCAATCACTTCTTAAAGCCATTTATAGCTGAAGAAGTGATTGAATGTGTTGTGAATTATGCGCCAAAATAACTAAACACTCGATGTTTTGTCTTTCAGGCGAATAAACATGTCTTAAATGTGGACCAAATGCGCAAATTGTCGGACAAAGTATTGGTCGAGTCTTTCAGTGAATTGAGTTGCGATGAAATCCGGCGTATATTTCAATACAAATGTGTTTTAATGCCCCAAAAGTGTGGTCTCGTGTGCGAGAGCTTTGCTGTGGAGGAAAGGGCTCGTACTCTCATGAGAGACCATCTCTTGGATCACATCCGTAACGTTGAGCTCGACTTCACGGCAGAGACTGTGAGCGCAAGGAATAAGAGGCTAAACGATGGCAACAGATTGTGGAGAAACTGTCACTCGAAGAGTAACGCAAAATCCGTTTCGCAAACCAATAAAATTGTGAAAAACACATCAATTACTGAAATAAGTGATGAAAATTCATGTAAAATTCAATGTAATCATGACTTGAGTAGTGATTGTTTGTCTTCGGATGACATTAAATGCGAAAATAATGAGAAGAATATGAGAGACATTGGGAAGGGATGTGAAGATCATTGCTATACTTCACTCGAAGGACCGAAAGTAAAGTCAACTCCTGTAGAGAAAAGTGACGATAATTTGTTGTGCAGTAAAAAGAAATGTTTAAACGTAACGAAAGTGATCTCAACGCCGGCCTTCCCTTTCATATACGAACCCGTTTTGCCAAACATATCACAAGTCATTGAAATCGGTCCAACTCTTGGCAACCAATTGTCCAAAATTAACGCAGACTCGAGTCAAACAGTGAGCCATAATGTTGTCGACGAACTCAATACAAATGCATTGCAATTAAAACGACTCGCTTTGCAATACATTAATGATATTCGAGTTAAAACTAGAGGACAAACCGATAAGAGTTCGTTTCGGTGTAAGATATGTATCGATAAGACATTCACATCTCCGACAACATTAATATATCACTACAGAAGCCATGCGGGGGTTAAGCCATTCGAGTGCTCGCTGTGTAAGTCGACGTTCACACGACAGCATAGTCTCAATTACCATATGTTAATACATTTGAACAAATCTCGGTTCGTGTGCGAAGAGTGCGGCCGAAACTTCAGACATCCCTCACATTTCAAGGAACACATGAGACGACACACCGGAGAAACACCCTATGAATGCAACGACTGCTTCATTAAGTAATATCAGTCACTAATCTATTGATTATATTTATTTTGTTTAACACATGATTTGATTTGATGACAGATTTAAGACACGAAACACATATAAACGTCATTTGCAGACAAAGCACTCGAAAATGTTGACGAGTAAAGGGATTTTCGATTTGCCCGACAACGACCTCCACATCCGAAAGCCATGTCCGCCGCGCCGTAAATATGGGTTAGGATTTCTTCACCAGAATATCGAAGCCGTGGCCCGATATGAAAGGGCACAGCAAGAGGTGAATCAGACCATCAAAAGCAAGTGTCACGTAATTGAAGCGATCGATTCCAATCATATCCTAATTAATAATTTTAATTCGAGTAAAAATAATTTCGAGAAATTACTACAAGCCGTGGCCATCGCTGAAGATAACAACCGATCTATCATTACATAAATTATATTATCGTTCAGTTAATTATATTTTGCGCACAATTTCTCTATATTTTTGACATTAGATTCACATTTTTAAACATTACATATATTTGTAAATTACATGTTTGTAACATACAGTCAATTATTTGTTATTATTTTATATCATTATTACTTTTATTAAAATTAATTTTCTATTATATCAACAAATTCTAAAAATTTAATAAATATTTCATTCATTTAAAACAATTTGCAATTTTAATACACAACTATTGGTTTCACTGCATTACACGAAGCATACAGTATTGTACTGTAAATGTCATAGTTTTGCAGTGAAGTGAATACAGTATAGGAAAGGGGTTTCAATTGAGTTGTGTTCACATGTGTTGAAACCGTTTTGAAGCCTATGTTTTGGTTGCGTATTGTTTTGGTCTCCGTTTGTGTCAACTGTTTCTCATTTGATTGCTTTGACACACTTTCCCGTCGTTGACAACCAGTGGACACAAAATGGCCGCTCTTCTCAAGAAGAGAGCTCTCGCTGAATACGGACAGACATCCACTCAGGTATGTATTGGTGTGCATGTGATGGAAGTGATGGAGTGATTGATGCCATTGTTGTGTCCATTCAATGATAGGAGGAATCGAGTCATACGAAGCAAAGAAAGATCCGTTTGAGTAAAAAAGCGAAGAAAGATGTTTCGGAGTCAACACAACCTCCGAGTGGTGTCGAAGAGATCAACCAATTGTTGAAATCGAGTTCAGATGCGGTCAACGTTTCCGAGTTATTCAATCTCTTCCAGAGAGGAAGTCGCGAATCAATGGATGCAAACCATTGCCAACAGATCTATAAGAAATTGATGCACAAAATGAACAAAAGTCGTGATCCTATTGTGAAGATGTCATACATTACTGCCATCAAAGAGTTGATCATTAGTTTCGATTCAGTGGTAGATTTGTTTGGTATTAATTCAATGATCGATGACTTGTTATCATTGCTGAAGAGCGAGTCCTCGCATATAGTAATCGCTGAAATTCTCAATACATTGCATAAAATGGATCTCAAGTTTGAGACTAATTGTGAACACAAACTGAATATCTTGAAGACTGCAAAGCGTTTACTTCAAACCAGTTGTAATCATGTGGTGAAGAATGAATGCCTTTCATTGTTAGCAGATTTGGCACCGATTGGTATTAAGACTACTGACACTACATCTGACTTAAGTTACATTCAGGTCGAGTGCATTGCAATCATTAAACTGTTGCGCGATTTCAGTCATTATCACGACTCGAGAGTTCGCTCCACAGCTTTGTCATCGATTGTGAGTTTTAAATCAATTGCATTTGATTTCAATTAAATAATATTTGCATTATTTGGTCATTAGTTACGACTTCATGAAAGAGGCGTTAAATTAGATATAAGTCTTTACAGCGAGTTCTGTGAATCACTCAATGATGACTACGAATGCGCCAGAATTACGGCCATTAAACTGCTTCTGGTTATCAGTCAACACTACGGCGACTGGTATTTAATGAGTTAATTATACTTAAATATGCATTAAATATAAACAATTGATAAATAGTTTGGTTTGTGTTAACGACGGCGCCGAACAAATCCGATTAGCGGACGACGCGTTCGCCAAAGTTTGTTCAATGATGAGCGACCCGTCAATGAACGTGAGGGCGGAATCGGCACTACTTCTTGTAATATAGTTAATAAATATCTAAACATTTATTGATAATATATAATGTCTAACTTTAGGGCCAATTCACTCATATAAGCCCCAACTTCTTGGAACAGACGTTAGACAAGAAACTAATGTCAAACTTAAGAGTAAGTATGAGATAGTATTTACAAAGAATACAATTAAAAGTATTTATTTGATAGAAAAAGAAATCGGCGCACGAAAGGCATCGGGAAACCTATGAGACGGGCGAGTGGTCTAGCGGTCAGAAATGGGCGGATGACGCGCCTCACGAGGAGTTGTGTCCGGACACTGTGAACCTGATGAACATCGGCGCGTGCGGGGCATTCATACACGGACTCGAAGATGAATTCTTTGGTATTTTTCGATTCTTAAATGAATTGTTTATTAATTGAAGAGTTTGTGAACAGAGGTACGAATGGCTACTCTTGAATCGCTGAGTCAATTGGCACAACTGTTTCCCGCATTTGCGACACAAGCTCTCGATTTTTTAGTCGATATGTTTAATGACGAAATCGAAGACATAAGACTAAAAGCCATTCAATGTTTAACTCAAATAAGTCTCGAGAATATAGTCCTAAGAGAGGATCAAATTGACATAATATTACCGGTTTTGGAAGATTTCTCTATTGATATCCGGGAAGCACTACACGCTATGCTAAGCAACTGTAAACTCTCCTCTAAGGCAGCACTCAAGACATGTATTGATAACCTTCTGGAAAACTTGAAACGCTATCCACAGGACAAGAGTTCCATTTGGAACTGCTTTCAAAAGTTGGGAGCAAACCATCCGTATTTGACACTAACATTAGTTCCCGATTTAATTGGAATCCATCCCTTCCTTGATTTACCCGAAACTTCTCTCGAAGATAACAGTTGTAAGCATTGATCTATTAATTGTTATTAAATGACAACATTAATTATAATGTCATTATCACATGAATCAGACGTTGCGATACTGATTGTGGTGTTCAATGCGGCCAAAGAATGTACGACAATGAGTGATCTTTTTGAAGAGCATATTCGTCGGCATTATTATTATTTGAGAGATACATATCCAGCATTGGTTCCACGCCTCAAGATGTTGTCATCCGATTGTGATCCGAGTGCTAACGACTCTTGTATTGTGACCGACGGTCAGTTGCGGTCGCATTCATTTCTGTTACGTATTTTCGAAAGGGTTCGCAATGTTATGTCACTTGAAAGCCCTTCCACTCGCATTCAATCAGCAGTTCTTAAAACGACTCTTGTATTGTGACCGACGGTCAGTTGCGGTCGCATTCATTTCTGTTACGTATTTTCGAAAGGGTTCGCAATGTTATGTCACTTGAAAGCCCTTCCACTCGCATTCAATCAGCAGTTCTTAACCACTCGATTCGGTCAGTAATTATACAATAATTAGGAATTATTAATGAAAAGTATACAAACTTAATAGGGATTTGCAACATTTGGGAGATGTAGAGCCATCACTGTTGGCCGCATCCAAGTTCTTGTGCGCTTACCTTCAGTGTCAGATGTCATTAAGACGGGTAAGTGTTGTTGACATCTGGTATTACAGTGTCTTTATTATTGTTATATAATTATCAACAGATACTGTCGAACACCAATTGGATCAACACTTTTCTACTGTCAGCTCTACAGTCGAGTTCATTTCGGGCGTCAATACAACAGGTATTTTAATGTAAACATTAAATTATTGATTGATTTACTGTTTAATTTGCTGTTAATTAGTTGTTAAACACGACATTTTCGTTGGTAAACCGTTTCCATGGCTTACATCCCATTCAATTGGTTTGCATACAAGAGACACGACTGAAAGCAATGGCACTACAATTGAACGACTCTTGTATTGTGACCGACGGTCAGTTGCGGTCGCATTCATTTCTGTTACGTATTTTCGAAAGGGTTCGCAATGTTATGTCACTTGAAAGCCCTTCCACTCGCATTCAATCAGCAGTTCTTAATCACTCGATTCGGTCAGTAATTATACAATAATTAGGAATTACTAATGAAAAGTATACAAACTTAATAGGGATTTGCAACACTTGGGAGATGTAGAGCCATCACTGTTGGCCGCATCCAAGTTTTTGTGCGCTTACCTTCAGTGTCAGATGTCATTAAGACGGGTAAGTGTTGTTAACATCTGGTATTACAGTGTCTTTATTATCGTTATATAATTATCAACAGATACTGTCGAACACCAATTGGATCAACACTTTTCTATTGTCAGCTCTACAGTCGAGTTCATTTCGGGCGTCAATACAACAGGTATTTTAACGTAAACATTAAATTATGAATTGATATACTTTTATGTTTAATTTGCTGTTAATTAGTTGTTAAACACGACATTTTCGTTGGTAAACCGTTTCCATGGCTTACATCCCATTCAATTGGTTTGCATACAAGAGACACGACTGAAAGCAATGGCACTACAATTGATTGCTATAATCCACGGAAGCAATGCATCGGCACTTGCATTGTGTGATGCATTCATATCTGAATTGGAATATTTAGAGAAACTATTGTTTGACAACAATTTAACCGCCGATTCATTGATCGTTAAAATGATTAAAGAAATCAATTTATTAGATGAACCAAAACCAGGAACCGTTGCTCGTGTTTTGAAACCACTATTTCTGTCGCCATCCATATCTTTAATATCAGATATGGTGTGAACTTTGATTCTATTTGATGACAAGTTTTTAATATTTTGTTTGAATTAATTTAAAGGACATTATGTTAAACGATAAGACGTTTAATGATTTGGTTCGGTTGCGCATGACTTGTGCCACAATCCATGAGCCGACCGGCAAATCGGACAGTCCTCACAAATTTACCGCCGGATTAATATTGGGTTTGCCTTTCGATGCGATCATCGAAAATGTAACCGACATCAGGACTATAAGAATCAAAGTATGTTTACAATCCATTTATTGTTATTTTAAGGTATTATATAATAAATGCTATCTATTTAATCCATAAGATTCAATACCCGGATCAACAAATACAAGTAGTTTTGCCCAAATTGTCTGACTTTCGACTCATTGAATCGTCAGAGAAGCCAAATGTATGCAAATACCGATTGTATACAACTGTCTATTTGTCGCATGGAGTTTGGGTGGAGTCGTGTCCCGTCGAGATCGGACTTATGCTCGACTTTCGAGACACCACTTCCACAACATTAACGGCAACTCAGACATGGATTTCATCCACAACTAAAGGAAGTGGTATTAAAGGCGCCAAATCTGAAGACAGTCTCGTTATAGATATTTGTAAACCCGTTCGCGTATATCTCTCTCCGAAAGCACCCAAAAAACTCGTTATTTAATCAAATTTATAAATATTTTGAAATCTTTGTATTTTTGATTTGTTTAAATAGTATTTTAATTGCAATAATTAAAGTACAAAACTATCGATTCATCACTGAATCTAATGATAACAAGTTATATACACTTTATTACTAAAGTTAGATATGTATCTAAAAAACTCAATTATTTAATCTTTCAAATGATAATGAATTTAAAGACAAAACACTTATATCTTTTCTGCTATTTTAATGGCGAGTCGACAGCCGTTTGAGATGACTGTATACATGAGTTTGAAAGCGAAAGCATTTTGTGCCCCGAACTCAATGCCGGTGTCGTAATGGTGTTGCTCTTCGTCTCTGAATTGTTTGATTGTTTCGATGAGTTGTTTGTGTTCTTCTAAGTCGTCGTCTATTAATTGTCTCAATTGGTTGTCGTAGTGTTTGGCGATCACGTCCTCTACGGCCACAGTGCAGGCCATCGCCGCCTGAGGACCCATCGCGGCGGTGGTGGCGCCCAACGCGAGCCCACAAACACTCCACAGCGGCTCAAACAGGCTTTTGCTGACCCGATGTTTGACAACTAGTTTCTCAAATTGTGACAAATGGTGTTTCTCCTGATCCCACATCTCTTGGATCACTGGACAGTGTTTGGGATCGTTCTTCAGGACCAACATTTGGCCCCAATATATGCGGTCTGCGGCCAACTCTCCCGAATGGTTCACTCGAATCATTTGGTCGTACAGTTGACGCCTTCGACGGTATAAATACTTCGCCGAAGAACTCATTTTCGACATAATTAGCGGACAAAGAGTGGACTCTTTTTGGGAGCAAATATCAAATGTATTCAATATTTGTGTTGATATCGTGTTTACAAACGATAGCGACTGCGCTCTCAATGAGAGTCTCATTCACTAACTTTTTAGATAACTTTTTAGTGTTTCAAATGTATTGTAGATTGTATTAAGGTCAATTATGTCATCTATTACATGTAATCAGGTCACATCACGTCCGGTCGGGTTGGGTCGGGTGCGCTCAAATTGTTGGCAACTCAAGTGAGACATAACTTATAAAACTGTATTCAAAAGTAATTTTATTAAACGAAAACTTAATCGAAAGATATTTTTGATCAAAAACTTATAAATTGAAATAATAATGATTTAGAATTGAATTATTGTTTAATTAAATTGAAAAATTAATATAGGAATCGATAATGAGCTGAAGACATGGTTAAAGATCGTGTTCTGCGTCATCGAACTGTCCCATCACTTCCATGGGTTCTTCGTCTTGACTGTTGCCGTTCTCGAAGTTGTCGTCCACCAGATTGTGTGGCAAACCTCGCGAGTCTTCAGCGGCGGCCACATCGTAGACGTTAGCATTCAATGGTATGTCATTGTCGTCGTCGTCGTCGTTGTCGTCGCTGAAGGACTCGTTGGGGTCGGGATGTAATGCTTGACATTCAGACATTGCTTTATACATAGCCTCCAAATGGGTTTTGTCGTCGGGAACGAAACGGATCTCATTATTACGCGAATCGTTGCCATCAACTGAACGAATGTGTGATACAAATCATATTAATGTAATTAACTGTTAAAATAATTTTATTTATTTTGATAGAAATTAGTAGTAAATTCTCAACAAAAATCAATTTTAAATAATTAAAGATTTATCAACTTTTTTGTACACAATTAGTATTCGGACCTAAAAATAACTAATATTTTATATCAACTCTAATATTAATACATTTTATATAATTTTAATTTAATATAAGATATAATAAAACGTTTTTCATTTAATGACTTAAAATGTAATCAAAAAACTATATATTTATGATTTTAAGCTTTGATTAATAAAATGATTTAAAAATTAAACCTAAAAAATGCAAAACAAAACAATATGTGAAACAATGATTAGAAAATGTTGTGATAATAAATGTCGTGAAACGAGACATCAGTTATTGAAATTTAGAAGACGAAGGGGGAGGCGATGTCTCCGATGTCTTCACTCTGGAGGACATGAACTCAGCGTTGAAGTCGTTTGGATCCATCTTTAGTATGTATGGTATAATACTATCGATTTGGACGCTTCCGATCAAACCCGAGAAGAATAGCTCTTCAGTGATGTTCGGCAGTAAAGAGCGGAGCGGAAGGAGTCTTAGGATAAGTTTGGAGAAGCGATCGCTGGCCTCGTCGGCCGAACAACTCGTTTCTGTGATGTAATGTCTGAGTTCGCGAACCGTCTTCTCCTGAAACTTATCAATTTGCCTGCAATTCATCATAAGACCAATGCCTGTGTTCTCGGGACTGAACAGTACGATAGCTTTGAGGTACGCGTACTCTCTTTCGTCCACTTCTAGCTTTTGAAATGAATTGACAAAGTCTTGGAGTTTACAGATATGATCAGTCACTCCCTTAACCCTTTGCAACGATAACTTGTCCTCTCGTAGAGTGGTTTGCAAATGAGTGATAATTGCAGATAAAATGGTAGCCAAAGACATGACTTGTGAGGTTTGAGCCAAACCTAAGACGAAGAGTTGACACCAACAGCCTCTGACCAGAGAGGTCTGTACATCAATAGACATCAACTGAAACGCTGGTATGGATTGCGCCCAATGGACAGACAGGAAGAGTAGCCGAGAGGCCGACTCACAGATGTATTGCAATGAGAGAAAGGAAGCGCCGGCGATGGGAGGCGTGAGATTAAACACGAAGTGTTGGTCAGTAAGGATGGGTCCGTCCATTTCAAAGAGGTCCTCGTTTTCGTTGTTTTGTCCGCAGACGGCATCGATTGCACCGAAAAGGAAAGCCGTTTGTTCTGAACTCGATTTAGAACCCGAAGCTATTTTGGCCATTATATCGAAAGCCGCTTTTGATATCATCAGGTTTTGTCGGTCAGCAGAAGTGTTGGCTTCTTTGCAACTTTCACTGTTAGCACCGGTAGTTTCAACTAATTTACTTATATCTGTTCTATCACTACATGAGTTGGCACTGATGGCGGCGACGGCCACCTGTTTCAGTGCCATTAGGTTTGAGACAACGTTAGCCAAAGTGCTTAAGTCTCCGTTAGCTTTGCTGGTGTGGGGCGAGTGGCCAGAGTTGGCGCCACTGGCTGTGGCCTCCATCATAGATAAGGCCGTCTGGCTGTCAAACATCGCCGCCATTTCGGCAGAAGAGCCCCCTCTGGGAAGGATGTGTCGCTGAGATGGCGAACACGTGGTGTTTGTGGTCGTATAGGAACGAGAAGGCAATATCTGGGCTGAGTTGGTGGCCGCGGCTATCACTGCTTGTATAGCACTGGCAGAACTGCCCTCCAGTGCGAGGGGTTTGCGTTCTGGTTGGCAGTGATCGGCTCTCATTCCCATTTGCAGACACTTCTGAAGCCGACAGAACTGACACCTATTTCGGTGATGTTTAGTCACTTCGCAGTCTTGGTTCGCACGACAGACATAATTGAGTTGTTTTCTAACACTGCGTTTGAAGAAACCCTTACATCCCTCACAAGATATGGCGCCGTAATGACGACCCGACGCCTTATCCCCACAAACAACACAAAACTCAATCGTCTTCTTCTCGACGGAAGGATTCAAAAGTGCCGAAGAGTTTAGGTTTACGTTAGAGAAGGAAATTCTGGCGCTCGAAGTGGGAGGGAGTGAGTCGTCGTTGTTGTCCGCCTCGTCCGGACTCCTGCCGATCCATTCGGAGCCCGTATTGTCGGCGGAGTTGTCGTAATCTAAACCCATGGCAACGATAGCACCGGGAGATGTGGGGACACTAATGAACTCAGTCTCGGGGTCGTCACCGGCACTGTTGTCACCACCACTGGAGGGACTGTCGGGTTCGCACTTAATGCTCACATTTGCGGCACAAGTGTCACGTTCTGGCAGTTTGTTAACCATATTGTTGTGCATCAGGTATTGGAGTTTGGAAGTCATCACAGCATTGGTCGAGCCGTTCAAAAGTGAACTCTTTGTTAAATGTAATAACGACTTGAAATCGTGCGAAGAAGTGTTGTCTGCGTTTCTTAACCACATATGGTATCAATTGATATACGATTGCAATCGCAATAATAGTCACAACTAATGACAGTTACACTCAGTTTTTGGTCGAGAAATAAGACAGAAGGCATCGACGGAGCGATCAATTCATACACACTTTGTATTAGAGTTTGTGTTCACGAGAATTGACACGAAATGGTTGTGCAATCGTTAGGTATTAACTATTGACCAGTCATTCAGTCATTCAATGAGTGCATCAAAAGAGAGAAAATATTTCATTAGACAACAGATTATACATCATTTCAATACAGGATTATTATTGGGCTTTAAATGTGTTATGAATCCTAAATCAAGTCCTTCTGCATTATTTCCCCATCAAAACCACAATTCAATACATTTACATAATTATAGCAATCATTTCAATACTAACACTAATTCACACTTAGTTTACATTACACTCAGTATTCAGTTAACCAAAGCTTATATGAGAGACAATTAGTGGTGAGAGAGAGTGAGGACTGACCCGATTCGGTGTCGCTGTTGTTGTCCTCGTCTTCGACCATAAGATACAGACACTCGTCGCCAAAGTTGGTTAAGTCTCTGGAGATGGCGTGCAGTGCTATCATCGGGTACTGCAATGTGAAGCCCTGTCCCTCGTCTGTGACCCACGAAAGGCTACCAAACAATGAATGAGTCAATACATTCTTCGCAGCAATCAATGGCAAGACATACCAGTGTTTGGCAATAATGAGAGATCCCTTTCCGATGGGAGCGTTGTTTTGGTTGACGAAAGCTGTGGTGTTGTGCTCGCGATGAGTGACCTGTTCTTCGTGTGGAAGTGGTGTTGGGCTCAAAGACACTAACATTGCGGTCAATCGGTGTCCAAATGGGTGTAAGTGTGGGCACAAGTGGTGCCAAAAATGGAGGTCTGGTTCGTCAGAAAGTGCGACGCATTTCATAGCATAGTATGTATTGAGTAATGGATTCACTGTTTGTATGGTTTCAATGGTTTGAATGTTTGAATCACTGCATAGTCTATGGCATAGAGTCTATGAGAATATGGTGTGGACTCGACTCGACTCAACCCAACCTAACCTAACCTATAGGCTATAGCATAAGCCATAGCACAGGCTATTGCATACACTGTACCTCTCATTGACCCCCAATAGCATTGAGTCGCACACGAAGGGCGGGTCAAAGTGACGTCACGGGCCGTCAGGTCATTGCCCGCAGCCATACATTGCATACATTGCTTCACTCTTACACTGCATTACTCTATCATTCACTCCATTCGGTGCGCAACGAGTCCTACACTAAATGTACACTAAATCCATGAAAACAGTTGAACTCATTCTGAACTCTGCGTTCATTTGTGTCGAAAAGTTGAACACTTTTTGGGACCGAAATACAGGCCAATAGAGGCCAATACGGGCAACAACTGTGCGCTTAGAGTGAATGACTCGAACTGACCTCTGAGTAACACTTGGAGTGCTTTATTGGAACCGTTAGTCAATCCATTTCTCCATACAATTAACATATGTTTCAATCAAACCATTCACTCATTACTCACTCAATACCCAATAGTGACCCCATTTTAGACCATTCACTCCCTATAGGCTACGAATGACACTCAACTTTAGTCACTCATTAATTGCTGCACTAAACCAATGATTGTGTCAATCAATCCGTTATTTCATAACACTTTAAATATGACTAACAATTGGTTTATCTCTTATAAACTTTAATGATTTCCAAAATTAATATTAATATTTCAAATCTGAAATATTCTAATATTTTGTTGAAAAAGTTTTGTCAAGTTTTGAATGTTTTCGAAAATGTTGTCAATTGTATTGCAATGACAGTACAGTTATGTCATACATAACTTCTATGGGATACTATTATATTCACCACTTATTCGTGATTTATATCTCAATATTGAATGCAAACTATTTTTATAAGGAATTATCATTTAATTAAAGTTTTCATCAAAAGTTCATTAAATATGGCACAAAATTACGACAATTTTGTATTTTTATAAAATTAAATTTTAATATTAAATAAGAGTTACAATGAATTCTATATTAAATTAAAAATGCTTGTTTTTATATGCAATTAATTGATTATAACTATAACTATAGACTAATAATTAAATTTAATTAATAAATAAATATAAGGAAATTCCTTAAAGGAAATAATAGTCAAATAATTGACACAAACTCTGTATTACAGAGTTATACGGTTTAAATGATAGGTATGTAAAGGAAAGCACCATGGTCCATGTGCAATTATATTCATTTAACTCCATGTATGTCATTGTATATGAGCTCAAATAGAGATGATTTGTGAGACAAATGAATGTAAAACTTATAATATTTACTGTTATTACTGTTAACTCTATTTTGGTTAACAGTAAACAGCAAACCCTCAAAATTCTTCAATTCTTGTTTAGCAAACAAATGTGTATTCATATAGTT